ATTTGAGCCCAGTTTTTCTCCTGCCCAGGCAGGGGGTCGACTTGAAGATCTACAAGGTCCTTTCCGACCCTAATTCTATGACCTTAGTGAATCCGTGATGATTGTTCCTAAGCATTTTCTTCCCATGCAAGTGCTTTCCACTTCTTATCCCCATGGGCTTCTCTTCTGCCCACTGTATTCACTACACTGTAGACACTAAGGCTGCTTAAAGATGTGAACCCTCCCCTCCCCCCCTACCCAAAACAGTGCTTTACTTTTAGCTCACCCCTGCACAAAGCATGCCCAGAAAAGGCAACATGTTAGTTTGACCCAGCTCATCAAATGTCTGTATAGATCAGGTCCTTCAGGGGGGCTTTATGGCACTTTTATCTTATAGCTGATTGAATTAGCTTTAGATAAAAGGGCCAAAAATCCCCAGTGAAGCACCCAATCTATACAGATGCTGGAAAGCTGGATCAAATTAACATGCTGCCTCTTCTAGTAAAACGCTGGGTGTTCCCCTTCCCCACATTTGTCAGCACCCTTCCCGTTCCCCACACCTGTCAGCACCCTTCCCCACACCTGTCAGCACCCTAAAGTATCATTTATTGGATAACTCAATTAGATAAAGTGTGATAAAACAGTTCACAGGTCTCCAAGCATTGTTGTTGGCAGAATAAAAAAGGCAAGATGTTGGTTTACCAATGTTTCATGTTTGGAACTGCTTTCTAGCAATGATGAAGGCTAGAAACTTTTAAAATTGAAACTGAGTTTCAACTTAACTCTTGCAAGTAAAAAAAAAATGCAACAGGTTGGCTGGATCCAGCCAAGAGATTGTATAATTTAAGGTACATTCATTAGAACAGAGTTCACTTTCGTTACCGATTAGCAAAATTCGGTCCAGATCCTGATTAGAGAATCCCAGTGATACTGTAATACAAGTGTTTCTTTACAATGTAGAAAATTCCAATATCATTTTTGAGTCAAAAAGACCATTAAATAGCATTACTGGATGTCATCATAAAGAGGGGCCAAAATCCACATACATCTAAAACTGGTCTTGTACAAAAAAATACATACAAGCAGGTAAGGAAGAAAAGCTCCTAAGGTTTCTCTAGGTACTAATATGTAGGGACCTACTCAAATAGCGATTTTGTGGAAATTAGTCACTTTGAATTTTTAAATCATCTAATTCTCTCTGAAAAAAAGAGTTCATTTTATTTTAAATATATGTACACACATGCAAGCTTGAAAAAGACAGTGTTCCATTAATGCCAAGCCATGAAAACATTTTCTAAATGAATATATTTTATAAGTGAAGTCTTAATTTTAATAAGTTTTTGCCCTTCTTATGGCCATCTGGTGGCTAGTCACTGCTGCCAAGTGTACACAACTAGTGCAATTTTAAACAAGGAAAAACTGCACTGGAACAAGATCAGGATTGACAGAGATTTAGGTTGTAAACTAGAGGTCTGCATTAGTATAGCTACTCTAACAACTGGATGCAAACAGTTGAAATCCCCTAATGTTGACAAAGCCCAAAGGTCATTATGGGCTGGGGTTTTTTTTGTTTTGTTTTGTTTTGTTTTGTTGGGGGGGGG